CTGCGTGCCGATACGGAAGAAGGGGAAGCTTCCCGGTCCGACCGAGTCGGTCTCCTACGCCCTGGAGTATGGCAAGGTAACGCTGGGGAGGAGAAGAGGGTTTCCAGGCTGGTTGGTGGAGGGCTGGGGGGTGTCAGCGAGGGGATGGGGTGGTAAAACTCGGGGAGGAGGGTCCCCAAGGTGGGTTTCACGGCCAGCGCTGATGCGAGGGACGGGCAGGCACGGCGCAAGCGTGGGGAGCGGTGCTGAGCTTCGCCACCCCCAGGCATGGCAGCTCCCTCCCCGAGCTGCGCTGGGCTTTCTGGGGAGGGGGCGAGAAGACCTGGTGCTAAATTGCTTTCTTTGGCTTGAATTCAGGGGCATGAACGTGGAGTGTGTTTCCCACTCTTCCAGTAAGTGCTGTGAGTGAACGCCTTTACTGCATGGCTTCGAAAGCGAGCGCTCGCCTCGTAACGCCGCAGCCTCCCTAATTAACGAGCAGAGGCGTAAGGCTAATAACGCACTACCCCTGGGTACTAACGGCAGCCAGGACCTGCAGCAGAAACGCCAAGCCTAGTCCTTATTTACGAGGGTTGCTTGGGCCAGCCCCGGCGTGGGACAAGTCCATGTGACACGGGACGTGTTTGGTGAAACACTGGCCCAGGCCGCCCAGAGAAGCTGTGGCTGCCGCCTCCCTGGCAGTGCTCAAGGCCAGGTTGGATGGAGCTCTGAGCACCCTGGGCTGGTGGAAGATGTCCCTGCTCATGGCCGAGGGGTTGGAACCAGTGGATCTTCAAGGTCCCTTCCAACCCAAACCATGCTGTGATTCTGTGCCTGTGACGGTCTGGATCTGTCACGGCAGAGCTCTCCAGCCCACTGCGTTACAGGAGATTTCCCCCCCCGGAGAGCTGCCTGGGGATGAGGTTTCACGATGGGACCGTAACTCACTTGATGAATGTTGGGGATCTTGACGTGCCGGAGGCTTGGCCCAGCAATCTCCTAACCCGCTGTGTATTTCCATGGCGCTCCCCTGTAGCTGGGGTCTGTCTTTTGGGGGGCTTTAGGTGCTGAGCCTTAAGGTTGATCTCACTGAAGACTTGTCTGCGTTCCACCACGTGTTAGCAGTTCGTGAAGTGTTTCTCTGTGAGGCAAGGCTAAAACGAAGCTGCTCTTTCCACCCTGCAGGCAGAACTTGAAATTCAGAGTGACGCCGTGGAACCGGGGCAGAAAGTAGTGATTGTAGATGACCTGCTCGCGACTGGAGGTGAGAAAAGCAGACGGTGTCAGAGCACGCGTGACCCACGTCCACGTGCGTTGGGATGGCCATGGGCTTCGAAGCTTCCCTTGGCACCGCTCCTCGAGCGACGGCGTTTCTGCTCATCCGCTGTGTCCCGCAGGTACCATGCGTGCAGCCTGCGAGCTGATGGAGAGGCTGAAGGCCGAGGTCGTGGAGTGCCTGGTGATCATCGAGTTAAAGCTCCTGAAAGGGTCAGAAAAGCTGGGGCCCGTCCCTTTCTACTCCCTGCTGCAGTACGACTGAGGAGGAGCCGGGAGAAGGGAGGGCACGCCGGGAGCTGTGTGCGAGCTGGGGCTTTACTCAGTGACTTTCTCA